GTCGATGACTGTAACCACCCCGTCACACGTTTTTGGTTTCAAAAACATCTATCCAAACGATGTTCAAAAACATCGTCCAACCAGTCATAGCTGTAGAAAGATTTTCCAGCCACTCCTTCCGAATCGGGGCTGTAACTACAGCAGCTCAAAAAGGCCTCTCACAGCAGCAGATTCAAGCTCTCGGTCGATGGTCATCGGACGCCTTCAAGAGCTATAATCAGGATCAATAATTTTCACACAAAGAAAGCCCATCTAATTCTGAGCAGTTCTGCTGAAAGCCCATCTAATTTGTGTACATAGAAAAAGTCTTAGATCTTTGAGTTCAGCTCGTGAAAAATGCGGGCAAAAACAAAAGTGTTGCATTCATAATTTTGTTCAGTGTATATTCCCTGCTGTCACTATCCACACTGGTATAAGGTGCACAGAGGTAGGTTTCTGCTGCTTGTGCGAGAGGAAAGCAGCTTTTATTGTCCTGTCAGAAAACCAGAGGCTATCTGCTTTGTGGGGTAACTGGCTCTGAAAGGTAGAGGTTCTGAAAGGCTGCGATGATGTTGACCTGCTGATGTCACTGCCACAATGTTCCCAGTCCTTATCCAACAACTCAACAGACATAGCATGTAAAGAGCCAATTTGTGGTACTTCCTCTGGGGGTTTAGAGCCGCTTGCTGCCAAACTCATCCTAGACCAGTTGTCCAATTGATGGCAAATTTGTATGTGTCATCTAGAGACCCCGATGACAAAAACTTATCAAAAGAATTTGGATTCATCAAATGGTTTAGAAGATATAGTTTAATAAATGTATGGAGCCTTATGGAGTCTTAATATCTTCTAAATGGTTTGACTGATTGAAATTATTTTGATAACTTTTTGACATCAGTGTCTATAGATGATACATGCAAAATTTTGTGTGAATCAGTTAAGTGGTTTAAGAGGAGATCGAAAAAGTTTTTACTACAACACATTGTACTAATGTTGTCCGCTAGAGGGAACCACAGGATAAGAAATGCATTTTTTTGCCTATATTGCGGTCCAGTTAAAATGAAGAGACAATATTATTTGTCTATTGTAATATAGTACAAAAATAATACTTCCACAGAAAGACCCTTAAATACTCATCATACATTTGAAAAGAGACATGGCCATTGTAAGATAACTATACTCTACACAAGGTGATTGGGCTTGGATCCTGATGATCGCCACTTTGGGCTATATTTGACAAGAAAAACAAAACATGAATGAATTTATTTTAATTCAATTCAATTTCATGTGACTTTATCAACACTTTATCAATCCCTGAGGGGAAATTGGCTGACAGTTCCAAAGGAAACATGTAACACCACAGAAATATTATAAGAAAAAAAAAAGAAAACCACAGAAATATTATAAGAAAAAAGAAAAGAAAATTGCGAATAAGGCATTTTCTGTCATTTAATGCATTTTGTAGGTTATGCTTGGCTCTTGTTTTGATTAGTCATAGCCTTGGCCTCATAGAATTCTCCAAATTTGCATTTTTCGGCTGCAGATGTTATATAAATATATATATATAGATACATGCATACATACACACACACAATCTGCAGTTTCAAACAGCCGTTTTTTTTTTTTACTACGTCACAAAATTAAATAACCAATCACGTCAAGTGATAGATTCCTATCACTGCATTTCATTAACTGTGCTGCAAAGCAGGGGGTCTAGTGAGAAGGCAGCCATGAAGACGTGGTTTAATGTGAATTTAGAACCACTAACTTGAATATTAACCCAAGGAAACAGTGTAAAAGTAGCCCGGAGTCAGACCCACCTCTCCCGCATTGGCGTCCACACTTCACACGCATATGCTCATGGGCTCAACCTTGACTGCATTCGAGTCTTAGAGGCATACTGAGGACACAACAATGTCAAGTAAGTAATTATTAGGTGTCTGACAGAGTGATAAAATAAATTACCATTCTGATACATCGACTTGTAAACGACCCTGTATAATTCTCTCTCCCTCTTCTTCTGATTCAGTTTCTGGTTCAAACATGGCTTAAATAAAACAATATTTCCATGTGCCATTGTATCGCATTTACTACAGTTCAGTTAGTGGATCAGGAGGCCCTGACTGGTGTGACTGAGTGGAGGCGGGGCTAATTAGTGCATTCATAGATCCGCGTATAGTAAATGAGGCATGAGTGTAGAGTTACATTCAAGCTATTCTAAAGGTGGGGTAAGTGATTTCTGGTAGCCAATGTTGACATTTCAAATCACCAAAACAAACACGCGCCTACCCCAAAAGGGTCTCGCCCCTATTTTGATAGCTCCGCCCCACACATACGTACACAACCGAGGCAACGATTAGTTTTGTGAAACAAAGCAAAACCAATGTTACACCGTGTCTACACCAGACGAGAGCGGCGCGACAAAATACTATAAAACTCATTATAATCCGTGATGCTGTCTACACTGGATGCGGCGCGGCGCGACACGACAAATCCCTGACAGAAAACTGCTGCTGCGTTCTATTTATGACGTATTGACACAAATTTCAAATGATTTTTAACGGTCGCTTTATCGCGTCCAGTGTGGACAGACTTTAACTGTTGCGGCACGGTGCGACAACTGTCGCGTCCTGTGTTGACACGGTGTTACTCACCTATCGAGAAGAAACAAAGCATCCTCGGCGGCCGATCGCAGGCCTTCCACTCCTTGAGTTCTCTCCAGCGCTGGAAAGCTGATCCGATATTTACACGGGTCCTACTTCTTGCCTTATCATAAGCCTTCTTTTGTTCCGCAGACGTTTTCCTCTTTTGTTTTTTATCCGCCATC